TTATCTGATGATATGAGACTGAGCTGAGCCTTAAGCTAAGACTGAAAGAAGAGCATGCCTTAACTAAACAAAGGAGATAGGAAAGAGTATTTTAGGCAGAGAAAACAGCCTGTTCAAACCCTGTGCATGGTGATTCAAGAAACTGAAAGATCCATGTGGCTGAAACAAAAAGACAGAAAAGCTGGTGACAGAAAAAGGCCAGCGATCCAGACAGAAGCCAGACTAAGCAGGGCCTTATAGATCATGTTAAAGATTTTTTCCTTGTTCCTAAAAGCAGGATAGAGGTGGCATGATTGGATTTGCAGTTTGAAAGGATCATTGTGGCTACATTGTGGTATATAGATTATAGGGGAGCTAATAGATTTGTGCCAGAGCAGTGTTAGGAAGCTATTGGAATAGTCAAGGCAAGAGATGTTTATAGATTGTTTTAGGATTATAGTGGTAGATGGAATCATGTATACACCTTAAAGAAATATTTAGAAAATAAAGAGGATATGGTGATGAGCTGAGTGTAGGACATGGGGAAGAGGAAGAGGGAGGGTGCCAGGAATGACATGGACCTGGCATATGGATGGTGATACCATTTCCTGAGCTAGGGAGCATTGAGAGAGCACCTCTGCTTTACAAATCAACCAGGTGCTTTAAATTTTGTTGTAAATAAGAACCTCTAAAAAATATTGAATTGGATGCCCTTGTGATATCTGCATGAGACAGGCCAGAAAAGCAAAATGCTGTTACTTGTGGTTTTGTAACACGATATGCCTTTCATTCTATTCTAAACACAACTACTACTCAAGCCATAATATATTTCTTTCTTAATACAGTTTTCCCACCTGCAAAATATAATGCATTAATTCTAGTTAACTATCCCAACTTGTCAGTTTTGTAAACTTAAAAACAAAATATTAAAGTGTCCCAATTGATAGAATGAAGGGAGGGATCAAATTTATTGACCGAACTTTGCAAGTCTTTATCTCAACTTATCTCAAGCACTGTTTGTACAGTAAAATGCAGGTGCTGGCTCCTACCAGACCTTGAAGACACAATTATTAAATTTTCAGTATCCTTGGGAGCTGTTAATAGTTTGAAATTGGCCACAATGGGAGTACTGATACTACAGGAATTGGAAAACACCACAGAATTTGCAAATGCTACAAAACACGGCTTTCCCTAACCCCCAACAAAGCCCATTGTTAAACATTTATCAACACACCACTGTATGTATTAAAGGGGATAGCCTATATACACAAAATACTGTAATGAGCTCGTTTGTACTCTCGCTTATTTAAAAATACTACTTATTTTCTTCTCCATGTTCTTAAATGCCTTCCTTTGTATTGGTTGAACCCTCTGTCCAAATCATTGCTGGATTTCTTTTTTAAGTCAAAGTCTCACTCTATCACCCAGGCTGGAGTGCAATGGCATAATAACAGCTCAGTGCAGCCTCAACCTCCTAGACTCAGACCATCTTTCCACCTTAGCCTCCTAAGTAACTGGTTCTACAGGCACACGCCACCAGTCCTAACTATTTTTTATTTATTTTTTGTACAGACAAGGTTTCACTATGTTGCCCAGCCTGGTCTTGAACTCCTGGGTTCAAGCAATCTCCCTGTCTTGGCCACCCAAATTGCAGAATGACCAACGTGAGCCATCGCACTTGTCTCCATTCGTGAATATTTTTTATGTTTCTACAGAGCTTCATTTGTGAAGATAGATTACTTTTAAGCATTCTTCTAGTGATTTTGTTTAGTTTTGTTTACATTTTTCCTCCCCATTAGATTGTCCAGACTGAGAAGTACTTCAGTAAAGTGGCAAAGTTTTAATAATTGCTGAATCTGGTTGATAAGGGTTTGTTGTACTATTTTCTCTAATTTTTTGTGTGTTTGAAACTTTTTATAATAATAAAAGAGGCAAGCTGCAACAGTACAGCTTGCCCAGACCTGTCCTTACTAGGTCTTCCACTTCCAGTCTCAGTCCTACAAGCTGTTCCCAGGATCGGAGATGATATGAGCATTGCTGTCTCTTCACCTGGCCTGAGTTAACTCCCTATTTTGATGTAAGTGTTACAACACCTACTTCTTCCCCCTGAAAAACAGACAAGCATGTGCAGAATTTAATTCATTTTACAACAAATTTTAAAGTAAACCTTCAGAGAGTACCTACCATATCAGACTGTCATACTTTCTTTTTACTAAAACCACAAAAATACTGGAAAAAAAGTCTTAAAAAGGTTCAGTAACAACAAAAAACCTCAAAGTACAACGAGTGCATAGATTACAAGAAATTGGGAAGAGTAAAAAAATGTGTAAATAACTTTAATAAAAAAATTTTAAAAATAAAAGGCCAGAAACATTATCAACATGCTAAACCTTCGGGAAGTAGGCAGGGATGAGGGACCAGAAGAATTACAAATGAAAGCAAGCACTCTTCAAGTTCTACCCTTAAATAAAAAACACTTAATACCAGCAAGAACAAGGGGGTTTGTTTGTTTGTTAATGTAGTATATTATTATGGAATACATAAAAGTACAAGAAACTGAGAAACACAAAATTGACCCAATTGTGGCATATCCATGAATAAAAAAAAAATTTAGAAATCAACATTTTTTAAAAGAAAAGAGTAACAATTTATAATTTAAAAGAAAACCATCAGTATCAAAAAAGGATTATGTAAATCCATTTTATGGATTAAAAATTAAGACTCAGGAAAAAGAAGAAATGTGTCCAAGGTCACTCAGCTAGCTTAAGTGTTGAAGCCTGGATTTAAACTCTCTAGATAACTCTACGGCATTTTGTTTTTCCCACTCTTTTTTTTAATAGCTCAAAAGTGTGCGTGGCTTGAATACATAATATAGACTTAACAATGATGCCCCAGTGTGTCTCATTTTTCTACCTCCTTGTCAACCCCCCATGATACTCTGTGCTGTGCATAAATTTCTAGTATATGAGAAAAGCCCACTTCCTAAAGTCATATTGAAAATCATTTTGTCTATTTCAGACAAAAATTAGATTTTTTCACTCTTCCCTTGAAGATATATTGTAAAATATGTGTAGAACAGAAAATGTAGCTTTATACAGCTTTTATTTTTAAAATGGAAAAATATTTGTAGTTAGTGATTGATGAGAGAAATGATCAAGTTTTGGTTTCTACTAAAGGAATCTAAGTTTGATTGGGTTTGAATTTTGATTCAGTTATTTGAATTCATTGGCTGTTTGCTGGCAGGTGATTTTTGTAACATTCCTTTTTAAGGTAATTAATTTTGCTTTCCTTTGGCCTGTACAGCATACTTAATGGTATTTAATACTTATTATGTGAAGTCCTATATCCAAAGGGTCTTTCCAACAGTAGGTGCAAGACAGGAATTCTCTGTCTTGCACCTACTATGAGCAAGTACATGTTCAATAATTATTTGACTCATGACTCCTAAATAAAATAGATTTAATAAATTATATTTACAATTGTGTCACATACATGACATAATTTTTCTTTTGCAACTGTACCAGGATCTAGGGAGGAGAGAGAAACTACATCAATTATTTTAACAAAGATAATATAAATAAGTGTTAAATAGGTATTGAAGAATGGAAAAGGAAGAAAGAAACACAAGGGCAATGATTTTCAAAGGATGGTTGCCAGACCAGCACCATTACCTGGAAACTTATTAGAAATGCAAAGTCTCAGACTCCAAGCCTCACCCTGAATGAATCAGAAACTCTGGTAGTGGGCCCAGCAATATGTACTTTAACAAACCCTCCAAGGCATTCTAATATATGTTAAAATTTAAAAACCACTACACTAAAACATCATCGAGACAACAGCTGCAAGCAGCCACCGTTCTTAGGACTGGGCAGCAAAGAAAAGAGATGGATGGAATTACCAAAGCTTGAGAAAAGGCCATGGAGCTGAAATTCAGACTTTGGAGAATGGATTTCTGCTTACCTGGTGCTGGTTTCTCTGAGTCAGAGGAGAGACCCTAGAGACCTGGGGACCAGTTTTCTAAGAAAGAAGTACCCAGGAGTTGAAACTGGTGTCTCAAAAAAGCACGTTAAGATTACTTCTACAAGTGTTGGAAAACCCTCAAATTGTAATCAGCTCTTGCTACTAGAAGGAACTACTACTGCCAGACAGAAGAACTGTTACTAGAGTGAGGATCAAGAAATCCATCCAAAAGAAATGAGAGCAAATCCTTTCTTCCTTCTCCACCTCTGCAGTGCCTCTCTGTTCCCTCTATTGACAGAGCCTAACAGGGAGCCAGAAATGTCTGCAGAATTCCTAAGGGTGGGTTTCAAGCTGAGAGATGTAGTTTACTAACTGGTGTGGTGGCCAGTTAGTAAAATATTTTTGGTGTGCATAATTGGTTACACATAAACATTTTCTTGGGCAATAACTTCTGGGTGGACTTTTGGCCTTATTGTAAAAAGTGATTCCTATTTAAAAACTATTGTATCTCCTAATGAAATTAATAAGAAGTATTCAGAATATTTGTAGAATGGACAGGAAGCTATACAAGGGCCACACTGAAGTTTACTTACTGGAGTCTAAGGCTAAAAGATCACAGCAGTAATGACAGGATTACTCAATAGCAGCAGCATGACATGGTTCAGTCAGCTGAGGCTCAGTTCCTTAAAGCTTAGTGTCAGAGGACTAGACTAAAAAGAAGCTTACTAGGACAGAACAGTCAGGGGCCCTGCCTTATAAAACAGGAGGGTGGCAGAAAAAGTTGTTCTGAAATCGCAGAGAAATCCATAAGCAGTCATCTTTTTGCAATTCCAGGATCAAAAAGAACATTCTCATTGTTTTAGGTTAACAAAATGCTATTGAATAATTATCAGAAGTATGCCCAATACTTTGGGAGATAAAGTAGAACTATCTTTTGTTATTCTTAAAGACCATTACATATTTCTTTTTTTGTGTATTCATATTTTATTTTGTCTTTTTTTTTTTTTTTTTTTTTTACCATGCAACAAAACCTTTATGAACATGCCTTTTTTTTTTTTAAGGATGTTGAAGAATCACAAAACCACACTGGCGAACCCGTTGGAGATGACTACAAAAAGATGGGAACACTTTTTGGTGAACTGAACAAAAACCTTATCAACATGGGCTTCACAAGGATGTATTTTGGAGAACGAATTGTGGAACCAGTAATAGTCATTTTCTTTTGGCTTATGCTGTGGTTCCTTGGCCTGCAGGCCCTTGGACTAGTTGCTGTTCTTTGCCTTGTCATTATTTATGTGCAACAGTAACTGAATGGATTTATTTGACATTTGGTAGCCATAAATGTAATTAGAGAAGTTATTATTTCACTTTTTGACAACCAAAAAAGTTTGCCTAGTTTCAAGTTGTGTGATGACTGTTTTGTAATTAAATTTATATACAAGCATGTTGTTTAAACTAAACTCTTGATAACAGGGTTGCATATATATTTTTAATATACATTAGCTTATTCAAAGCTCTTGTTTCACTAATGTGATCTCTGTCCCCTTTAGATACCTCTATCCCCATGCCAAATCTTCACCACCACCACCAAAAAAGGGAGCAGGGGAAATAGCAGGATATAGAATTCAAATCAAGCAATGTAGCTCTCATAAAGAGTTACAATAAAACATTTTAGGGGAAAAAAGGATGAAACAAACTAAAAATAAGTTTTAATTGGAAAGCTCTTCCCCATTCACTCCCCCCACCCCCACCAAATAATCTAATATTATTTGGGGAATTTTTGAATTTCTATTGTTCCTGCTCAGCCCAAAGTATGGTCAATAATAATTAGCATACACTACCTTAACATTGTGATAAAAATCAATAAAACTAGCACATTTACTAAAGGTTGAAAGAATATATTTATTATAACTGGGGAAATTTCCCAGGTTAAATATAACTTCTAAATAATGTAACATGTAGGCCTGGAATTACTGCAGTGTATCATTTCAAGTTTTAGACAATTTTGGTGCTAATTACATTTTGTGAGTTTTTCAAGTCTTACAAGCATAGTTGACTGCACTCTAAGGTAATGCCATATTTTCATGTATCTAACAAGTTGCATATTTTTTCTTAGACATTTTCAGTGTTTTTTTCAGAAATTTATAATTTTATAATTCTTTTATAAAAATTACTCAAAGATTTAAAACAATGTATTTCCTATCTTGGCATGGATTTTTTTCCACAAAAAAAAATTGATTTACATTTGACTGTTCAGAAAAATAATCAGGTCTTTTTTTAAGTATCTGCATTGGAAAGTACAGTATTACAGTATAACACCGAATGCTTAAGTTTGGAACTTAAGAGCCAATTGTAATAATATTCTTCTAAGGCTAATGCAAGTAATTGGCTAGCCATGTTACTAATGTGTCTTAATTTAGCACTTTGAGGTTTTATATTGAAATAAACATTTCTTTAAATATTCTTTGAAAGTGGAAAATGACTTTAGTGATCTTTGAGGTTTTGTTAGAGACTATATAAACAAAGAAGTAGTTAAGATCATTAAGAATTAGAGTTAACTATGAAGAAAATGGGGCAGTAGGACATTTTTATCTTTAATAGGGCACTAACTAAAACATATAGAATGTTTACTGTTCTACTTTGTAAAGCTTTTACCCAGTCCTATTTTTAAAATTTATGCATTTTCAGTGTCTTCCCATTCTGAAGCAGAAAATAATGAAAAATATTTAATTTAGATTTCTAAAACCAGATATCCTAAAAAAAAAAAAAATCAGTAAAGGGTCACTGAAAAGGATAGTGCATTTGTATAAGTACAAGCCTTTTAAAATTTGACTTTTAAAAAACAGAAGACTTTGTACTATATTATTGTGTTTTGATTGAGTTTGCAGTATTTTTATAGTAATCTTTATAAACTCAATATTACTACAAGTTGTTTGAAAAGATGTATTCATTTGTGCACAGAATTGTGAGGTTTTCAGTAGAAGTCATGAGATTTTGTATAGCTGCATAAAATATAAGTGCATTCTTTTCTAATGCTACTGGAAATTTTAATTCTTTGAGCAAATATATACACATATCAGCTCTGGTTCCACCAGTGCCTAATGTGAAAATATTTTAAAAGTAAGTTTTCATAGTTAATCATTTGGTATACTGTCAATACTATGCATCTGCCCACTGGTGTTAATAGGGTATTAAATTACGTAAAGAAATAAGATATTATAGTGGCATTCTTCTACATATATTATTGTTTAGTGCATTATATCTTCAAACCTTTGCTTTGATTTGGGAAAAAAAAACTTTGCTAATTTAATGGAGAAGAAATATTTGCTTTTATGAAACATATTGGAATACAGATTATACTAATATCCTGAAATGAAACTGGTGATTTCTTTAGTTCATAGTATAAGAAATTAGATTGAAAAGTATTCTCAGTCACTTTACTCTCAGTTACAAACTAATTTTAGAAATTGTTATTGCTTATGAATAAAGAAATAGAAGTAACAATACTAAGGTTATTAGATTATATAATGTATACTCATACCGCCAGCCCTCAAAAAGAAAAAGGTCAATGTGTACAAATAAAGTGACTATCTAGATAAGTAAAATCAATTTTTCTTAAGATAAAAACTCTGTATTTTGTAGAACTCACTTTCCTTATATCTTAAGTTGTCATGTACAATGTACTTTCCCCTTCCTGGCTACCAGTCAGATCATTCTTAGTCCAGTAATATGCTGGAGCCAGCTTGCACTGACTTGCAAGAGCCAAGTGTATATGTTTTTTTCTTCCTTCAGGAACATCAAGTTGGTAGTTTGAGATTGGCTATGTTGGTAGTATTTACACCAAAAAAAAAAAAAGCAAACACAAATCAGTGTTCTTTTTCCCTGGAGAACCAACTATTAAACATACATCAGCACATCGTTGATTAGCCACTCTGAAGACCACATTCCCACTTCTACTCTTATAGATATAAAAGGAAAGGAAAGAAAAAATACATTTTGTGAAATAAAAGGAAGTGCATTAGATACCCATTGACCCATCCAAACTGTATTTAAATCTTTTTCTTGTAGGGATTATGGTCCATGGTTATCCTCTGACCAACATATCTCTATTTAATCACAAGTTTTGACCAGAGAACATCTGTCTAGGCTATCACCAAGCTGCAGCTCCATTAAGCCTATCCAGGTAATCAGGAAAGGAGAAGCTATCACAGAACTGATGGAGGGCAAATTACAGTATAAGTACAGAATAATTGAAGTAATACAGAAAACTCAAAATAGTCAAAGATTATATTTTAACTGTTATTTTATAAGCATTTCTTGATTTCAAGTTATTTAAATTGCTTTCAGTACCAATTTATGGCTTTACAGGGTGAAAGGAGAAGAAGAAAAAAATCAAATTAAACTTTAATATTTGTTAATTCCTCTAGTAATAGATTTGGCTATTTTAAACTAATATTAAAATGATGGCTCCAGGATTATTGGTGGATTAGGGGTCTTTTGTAACTCCTATTTCTCTCTGCCCCACATTCAGTGTCTGGTGTGCCTTGGGGTTCAGTCCAACAGCCTGCTCTCTCCTCACTTCACACATCACCTCATCAATGTCCCCACTCCCGTGGCTTCAGTTCCATTTGCATACTAACAACTTCCCCATCTGCATCTCTATTTCACAGCAATATACAGAATATAAGATCCATACATTCAATTGCTTGCCCAATATTTGTACTTGGTTATCCCATAGCACCTTAGATTCAGGGTGTCCAAAGAATAGCTCAGCATCCTTCTCTCAAATCTTTTCTTTCATGGTTCCCATTCTCAGCAAATGACACAATCCTCTCCCCATTTGCTCAGACAAGAATTGCAGGTGACATTTTTCACTGTCATCTTTCCTGTACTGCCTAATTTTAACTAATTCCCGAGTGCTGCCTATTTTATTTCTAAATATTTCCTTAAGCTTCCTGCTTTTCTTCATTCCCAGTGTTACTAGCTTAGTCCATACATCCAACATGTCACCTGGAATGCTATCTCAGAATACTGATTGGCATCCCTGCCTTCATTTTCCACTTTGTAGTTATGCATCTTTGTAAAAAATAATTCTAACACGATTCAGATCTCCTTTACTTAAATATTTTCAATGACTTTCTGTTACCATTATGATAAGTCCTTACTCCTTAATATGTTTTAAAAGGCCCTTCTCTCTATGCTACTACCCTCTATTTCCAAGACCCAACTATCCTGATCTCTTTTTCAGTTCCTTAAAAGGAACATGTTTTCTTTCAGAACTTTGCACATGCTTTACCGCCTTTCTTTAACCCCTCCCCACCAGACTGACCAACATCTACACAGTCTAAGTCCTCACTTAGACATCAGGTCCTCCAAGGAAACTTCTCTGACTCCTTTAAGTCCAGTTTTGGTAGCTCATTATATGGTTGGTTTCTCATTATGTGAAACCCTGTACTACTTCTCCTATCAGCACTTCTCATACTATGTTACAATAGCTTATTTTCAGCTCCTTTCAGTAGGCTTCACAAGGGACGAAAACGTGTCTACCATGTCTATAATTATATTGCCAGTGCCTAACTTAATGCCTGGCACATTATAGGTGCTCAAAATAGTTGTAAAATGAATAAATCGACTTCACTTACTCATGGTCTCTCTATAGTTCACTAACAAAGAAGATCTAGAGTTGGTTGTACTTTAGAGTTCTTTTACTCCAAAAATATACTTATTGTGCACAAAGAATGGTTGATGTATATGTTATAATTTATAAAGCTTATTCACTTTTGATAAAAGAATATTGCTGTTATTTGTATACATATACAGTATTGCTACTATCCATTTGCATTTTTTTAGGAGAAAATGTATTTTCAATGTTCTGTTTGGCTGATTCACTGTTTCTCCAAAAAGGATATTTTATGATACATATGGTCACTGACGCTACCAAAATTTCATATGCTTTTAGTATTTTTCAATAGACCTTTATCTACTAAATTTTAATTTTTTAAAAAACTCTGAAGCTGTGAACAGAAATTACCAAGTATTTAAGCTTGATGTTTTAGGCTCCAGAATAAATTCACTACTAGAATATCCTAGTAGTCCAGACATATATGTTAAATAATACACACACACACACACACACACACACACACACACACACACACACACAAAGTACCTTGTTATTATTCTTTCAATAAATATTACTTTTACAACCCTGAATTTTGAGCGTCTCTTCTGACTCCCTGTCTCATGTTCTGCTTATCAGTTAATGACTGCCACATCCTGTTTGGATATTGCCAAAGTAACACCACAGCTGGGGGTGAATGGAGCTTGTCTTTTTTCCTCATCTCTGCTGCTAGATCAGAATGCCAAGACTTTGCTTGTGTATGATTTCCCAGGCAAGAAGTGGGAAAGCCAAGATCAAGAGCAAGCTCTGCCTCCAAGCTGTACTTTTTTCTGTGTAAGTTAGAATTATCAAATGAATTCTACAGAAGCCTGCTAAAGATCCAAAACATTGTCATGTGTTTATTAAACTTGAGTTTATCTTTTCAGCAATTAAAGTTTTATCATTTAATCTTTCATTAACTTATTTGGAATTGTTTACCAGGTTTTTTGTTTGTTTTGTGTGTGTGTATTTTACAGTAAAGAGTAACTTTTACCATAAGACC